CTTTACAAAAATAGAGAATTAGATCGGTACTGTTTACAAAGAGCACCTGATTTTACTGACTCTTCCTATCGTAATTGAGATCAATTGGATGATAACCCAAAGTTGATGGAAAAATACCTTGTTTTTACAAGAATAGTATGCTTGGATTTTAGGTGCCACTGAACGATATGTTTGGATACGCCACTGAACTGAGGTCCTGCACAGAGGTAAGGACTCTCAGTACTTTTTGCTAGAACATATTTATTTCTGTAAATCAAGTGTGCTACTTTGCATCATCATACACGTAGCATATGTAGCAGTAGAATCATAGAATCATAGAATGGTTTGGGTTGGACGGGACCCCTAGAGGTCATCTAGTCCAACCCCCCTGCAGTGAGCAGGGACACCGCTAACTAGATCAGGTTGCTCAGAGCCCCGTCCAACCTGGCCTTGAATGCTTCCAGGGATGGAAGAAGTAAAAGCGATAAAAATCAAAACAAATGCAGAATAGGAAAATAACCTCAGAGATTTTACTATTACTTAAACTGCTTTTTAATTCACAAAGCTGTCATCAGCTGTGTCATTTCTGGCCAAAAATTTCTTTCATACTTTTGAGGAGAGAAGAGATTCAAAGTCCTAAGTAATACAAAATGATAGGTATCAGTGAAGGTATTAAATTTACAGGCTGGAAAAGCTGAGGCATAGTCTTTAAGTGACAAACCTCTGCAAGTAGAAGAGATTTTTGACAGCAGTGCTCGCACTATTAAGAAAGATGTCTTTTTTTTTTTAATAATGTGCATGCCTGTGGTTACACACTCATTTGCATCGGGTGAGTTTGTGTGTTACATAAAATTTGCTGTTCCACATCTCCTGGCACGCGAGTGCCAGTGTTCTGTGAGCACGCGAGGGGGCTGGTGTTAACACCGCCATCGTTTTCAGCTTTTAAGCAGAATGTCGCACTGATGGGATGGGAGCCACAGGTGACCTTATATCAAAGAAACTATGTTCAGCTGCTGTTTGTGTCTCTGCGTCTCATCCCCACGTGCCTGCCGACATGGCGTTGGTATACGTAATTGTAAATGGTCATTGCATGTTATTTCACAGACTAGGGTGTGGCCTGCTGCTCGGTAGGTTTGCACGTTTAGCAGCCTCACTTTGACTCTTCTTTTCCAACTCTACAGGGAAAGGGTGAATATACAATGGAATACTGTAAGTATCAACCGTGTTTGCCCAGCACTCAAGAAGAAATAATTAACAAATACCTCGAAGCAACAGGGCGACTTCCTGCAAAAAAGGGCAAAGCCAAGAGCTGACTTTTTTTCCTCTCTTGAGTACATCGAACGGCTTTTCACAATCTTCTCTAAAAACTCAGTTGCCCAAGCGATAGCGATCCAGGCTGCATAAGTGCAGGCTGCAGTGGGACTTGGGCTTGTAATTTCCTCACACTACCCTTCCTTTGTGGTATTCTCAGAAGGCTCCAGGAGATTACAACGGAATTGTTCACATGTAAATGCTACTCATGAACAAAATAGATAAATGTTATAACCCTGACAATAATTTGTCTTGAAATTTGTCTTAATCCACTTGTATTAAAATAATTTTATTTTTTTACTTGATACATCATTATTTTGTAACTAGGCTAGTTGCTGTTTCTTTGCTTTTGAAAGTTTGAAAATCTTAGTTTAGGAGACTAAATCTTCACTGCTGGACAGGCAGGAGGGCGAATCATCATCCGATGCTGAGCGGTTTCCACACGCGTGCCCCCAGCACAGACCCTGTGGCTCCCTCACTTGCAGCGGGCAGTCTGAAGAACCAGTGCCAGTTTTCCTTCCCTGTCCTAGGAGCCTCCGCAGTCAGAACAAACCGGGCAGAGTCGCCTGTCGGCGCAGCTTGCTTGTCACCACACCTGCTTATGCTGGTGCTATAAGGCCTTTGAAATAGAGCCGATAATAATAGACGTAGAAATTAACTCTTTCCAAAGCTATGAACAGCATGGATTTATTTTAGGGGCTTGCTTTCTTGGCTCTTTGTTAGAAAACCAAACAAAAGATTCCTTTTCCCAGAATCTTATAATCAAAAAGGGGTGTTGCTGATGATGCTCAGTTTGGGAATCAGTTGAATAGATCTTGCTCGGTCGCAGAAGAGAGATAAAACAAGGATGTTGTAGTTAGGCAAGAAAGAGAAGATATTATCATCAATATTTTTTTTTAATTACTACCAGAAGATCCACACTGAATTTTCTTCGCGTGCTCTCTCTCTTCCTGACCTACTCAGCTTAACAGCGTTTTTGCAGACTTCCAGTAAACAGCGAATGGAGTTCCAGTTCAAAACCAGCTACATTCCTGGCAGAGGGTTGTGGTTGATGCTTACCAGACGCAGGCGGAACTGCAGTGGCTGGGCTTCTGTTCCTCAGCCTTTGCAGAAAGACAGTGAAGATTTTTTTTATTTCAACCTTGAAAAAAGCACTGTGTTGGAGATTAGTAGCGGGCAGGTCAATGCTAACGGAACACGGGCATAATGTTGTTGGTATGAGAGTATGATGTTGCTTTGGGCCAAATCCTTCTTGATTCTTGTTATTTTTGTGAAAATAACTCAGCTGGGACTTGTTTCAAGAAAAGCCCTGCAGGTTCTCTGACATTTGGAGATTTTTCTAAAAGAAGCTAACACTGCACATTTACCAAAATTCAGAGATGTCTCACAGAAGCAGTACGAATGCAAGAAACATGGGGTGGTTATTAGTGTGTTTATAGTGACCGCTTTTATGTTATGCTTGTTGGAGGCCAGTCACGATGTGAATTCCTGGCTGTGAAGAGGGACACAAGCACTAGCAAGAGCCTAATTTGGGGGCACCCTGGATTTTGTTTCTTTGTGCATGATGGGTTTTTTTTTTCTTTAATTACCTTTTAGATAGCACTCATAGTATACCTGCCTTAGTTGAACTCTTCCTGTCAGCAAAGATAGAAGAGAATTCTTCCTCTTGTCTGTGCAACCTCTTACAGATGCGCCCTGCGCGTGGCTTTTTAGCGTGAAAAATTCACTCTGAGCCCTGACTTGGATACTGTCTACATGGCTGTAACGGAGAATGTTGCTCGAGTCAAAACTGTATGATTGTAGGTTCTGATCCACTGACTGAAATCCTGGCCCTAAGGAAGCTGGCAGAAATTTTGCCTTAGAATTCCACCAGGTTTGCTACTTGTCCAGAAGTTACTGTTGTGCAGTTGCTTAACTGACAGGAGTTTGCATTTGGAGTCGAAGTTGGACCGATCTTCAGACAGGCAAGTTGGAAGTGCCTGATCTTCTGCTCTAGGTCTGGAGAGCAGTGGCAGGAACAAGGTAAGGAGACTGAACTTGCAGATAAATGCATTGCTAAAGTGGAGCCCCGAAGTGCAGAACCTGTGTATTTTCTTGTTTTGATTTAAAAAAAAAAAAAAGACTTGGATACTGTCTACATGGCTGTAACGGAGAATGTTGCTCGAGTCAAAACTGTATGATTGTAGGTTCTGATCCACTGACTGAAATCCTGGCCCTAAGGAAGCTGGCAGAAATTTTGCCTTAGAATTCCACCAGGTTTGCTACTTGTCCAGAAGTTACTGTTGTGCAGTTGCTTAACTGACAGGAGTTTGCATTTGGAGTCGAAGTTGGACCGATCTTCAGACAGGCAAGTTGGAAGTGCCTGATCTTCTGCTCTAGGTCTGGAGAGCAGTGGCAGGAACAAGGTAAGGAGACTGAACTTGCAGATAAATGCATTGCTAAAGTGGAGCCCCGAAGTGCAGAACCTGTGCTATTTTCTTGTTTTGATTTAAAAAAAAAAAAAACATATTTTCATCGCCAATTTCTTTAAGAAGCGTTGCCATTATAAGCTCCGATTTCATGCTTGTGCTGATGAGCAGTGTTTTACCAGCACAAAAGAACACACCAACAGTATGTGAAATGCTGCTTTGCTGAATTTATTGTAATGCCTATTGCGTGCTGATATAAAAAGCTTTGGTCAGTAAAAGTTGTATCAGACTCATACACTTGTGTAAAATGCCCGAGTCCGGGGGGTTAACAGATCACCCAGGCGAAATATTCCCCGGCGAAAGCTTTCATGCTTACAGATCAATGACAGCGCAATATACCACACGTTGCAAAGAACGTAACCGGCCCGGGAGGCAGGGACCATCGCCTCTTCCCTCAGTGAGGTGTGCTTACGGATCTGGAGCTAATGTAACCTGGCAGAAATCTTGCTAAGGGTGGGGAAAAAATTATGAACTTGAGACAGTTTGGCACCGTCTCAGAGAGCAAAGGCAGGAGGGTGGGTCTGCTGTGGGAGATGTCTCTCCAAATGGAGAATTTGGTGCGAAAGGACAAAGCTGCGTTCTTGCAGCAGGACGTTGTTGTATTTAGGATGGGTACGAGACGTGGCAGTCATTAATGAGAGCTGTTTGTTGGGGTGTTCTGGCAGCGGGCTGTTCCCCCGCCAAACCCAAATGTGGAACTTGAGCTGTACAGAGCACTCCTGTCTCTGCAGTGCTGTCTGGTTTCGTTTGAGGTAAAATAGCAAAAACTGTGCCGTGCTGCAAACAGACAAAGACAACATCCTCAATTTCCGCCTGACAAACGCTGCCTGGCAGTGCTCTGGACTGGTGACAGATGGGGGGAGACAACAAAACATGTTTCCCTTATATCAATATTTTCTGAGTTGCCTTCACAAATACAAGAGAAGAAGCTTTCTTTTTAGGTCAGCTCAGGCTGCAGGAACAGCGGCGCGTCAGCGGGGCTGGGGCTGCCCCGGTGCTGGCTGCTGGCTTCTGCAGGGCCTCGCGGGGAGGCCTTTTGCTGCCCACCTCCTCCGCGTCCAGACGCCGGGGCAGGCACTGGGAGAAGATGGGAAGCTGGGATCAAACAGCAGCATCGTGAAAGAAAACCCAACCTCGACCCCGCGTAACGGTATTTGTTTTATTGGAGATACAAGTTAAAAATCAGCATGTATCTATCCCAAAAAATGAAAAAAAAAAAATAGACAAATATTTCTTAGTGACAGATTAATACTTCTCTCAAGATTTTTATCCAAATATATTAACTTTGTTTACGAACTGTGTTACTCTCAGTAACAGTAAGTTAGTGACAGAACATCAACTTGTGTGTGCTTATCTGTGTATATATGGAGTAGCAAAGTGTTTAGGTGGATCTCTAGAACATGAGTCTTGCAGCTTAAGAGCTTACAGGAATTAATTTTGGAACAGAACAGACTAGTGAAAGCATTTAATTCACTGTTCAACTTGTACAGAAAAATTATCACAGCTCCAGGTCTATTAACACAAGGATTTACTCATTTAATACATACATGTAAAGCTGACAACCTCGTTTAAAAATTTGCTCCCTTTTCATGCAAAATGCCAGCAGCTGACCCAGATTCCCCTCCGGATCCATCTTCAAGCCCCTGATTCTCTGAAGCACAGAAGTATTTCACTTTCAGAGGGTTAGCAGGAAGCCAAGTGAGACGCATGTGACAGGAAATAATTCCCTGGAGAACAGATTTAAAAATACACATCTTTTATGATCTTTATACTGTTCCTCTGTCGATGAAAGGCGGTATTACACGCACACGCTTTCTTACCTGTGTTGGAATTTCATGGAGTAGGACAGTGTAGTCAAACTCAATAAAGTCATCTTTCCTTATCTGGGCATGTGTCAAAAAGGGAAAAAAAACAAACAAACAAGAATACAAGTTATATTGTTGAAGTTTGGAGTCTGCTCTGATTTACCTGACTGCATTTAGCTAGCTTAGGGAGGAAGGCAGCTGCGGTCGTTGGCTGGAGTGAGACAGGTTTTGTATGTGGAGAGACAGGGAACTGGGAGCACTTCCTGCACAACAGCTTTGGAGGCACTAACTGCAGCGTGGCTCTGCAGTCTGACTGTTCTCTGACATGGCGCTAGGCTGACTCGGGTGCTAATTAATTCAATTTAACCCTCAAATAAATTGGAGAATCTTACCCAGCTATGAGCCTCCCCTTAAGAGAAATCTCATTGTGAGTAACTAGGGAGTACAGACGGAACACTGTTGATCACAGATGACCGAGGGAAACCAAGCTTTGGGAACTCTTGTTCTGTATGCTGTGGATGTAAGATACCATCCCCCAGAGAGCGTAGGTTGGGTACTAGGGGGGCAAAGAGTACTGGGAGCCACTTAGTTTGGGGCTGAGGAACTGCAGGGCCATGTGTTCATATCTCCAGATTAAACCTGCAGAAGCGAACAGATCTGCTCATGCAAACAAGGAAAACCAAATTTTTGTCCAAATGAGTAAAATTTTTCCACCAAGAAAGACCTGGACAAAATACTTGTCCAGAGGTGGAGATACTTGTATGGAGAAGCCACTGGGGTCTTGGGAGAATCCCATCCATCACAGAGAGCGTGAGCTGTTGATGGTCGGGCGATTCTCTGCTGCTTGGCAGACTGTGATAGCTTCTGTAACGCAGACGTGCGGTTTCCACTTTGCTTACCCACTGCTTCACAGACTTGACTTGTGCCATGAAGTAACCCAAGTTTTCTGTTGACTTTTCCCACATAATGTAACTGCTGCCAGCCACAGCCAAAGCCCACACTGGCTCCAGGGCAGGTTCAATATTTCCATAGCTGTCTGCAAGGGAGAGAGAGAGTAATATAAAAATGATTCATTCCGGCTGTTCAGCAGAAAAATTACAAACCTCAGAACACTTTTGCCTGGTGTAGGCAGGCAAACGCTTTTGCCCTGCTGGGGAGGCCTTTTGCTGCCCACCTCCTCCGCGTCCAGACGCCGGGGCAGGCACTGGGAGAAGATGGGAAGCTGGGATCAAACAGCAGCATCGTGAAAGAAAACCCAACCTCGACCCTGCGTAACGGTATTTGTTTTATTGGAGATACAAGTTAAAAATCAGCATGTATCTATCCCAAAAAATGAAAAAAAAAAAAAAGAAAAATTTTTCTTAGTAACAGTTTATGCAGGCACTGGGAGAAGATGGGAAGCTGGGATCAAACAGCAGCATCGTGAAAGAAAACCCAACCTCGACCCTGCGTAACGGTATTTGTTTTATTGGAGATACAAGTTAAAAATCAGCATGTATCTATCCCAAAAAATGAAAAAAAAAAAATAGACAAATATTTCTTAGTGACAGATTAATACTTCTCTCAAGATTTTTATCCAAATATATTAACTTTGTTTACGAACTGTGTTACTCTCAGTAACAGTAAGTTAGTGACAGAACATCAACTTGTGTGTGCTTATCTGTGTATATATGGAGTAGCAAAGTGTTTAGGTGGATCTCTAGAACATGAGTCTTGCAGCTTAAGAGCTTACAGGAATTAATTTTGGAACAGAACAGACTAGTGAAAGCATTTAATTCACTGTTGAACTTGTACAGAAAAATTATCACAGCTCCAGGTCTATTAACACAAGGATTTTCTCATTTAATACATACATGTAAAGCTGACAACCTCGTTTAAAAATTTGCTCCCTTTTCATGCAAAATGCCAGCAGCTGAGCCAGATTCCCCTCCGGATCCATCTTCAAGCCCCTGATTCTCTGAAGCACAGAAGTATTTCACTTTCAGAGGGTTAGCAGGAAGCCAAGTGAGACGCATGTGACAGGAAATAATTCCCTGGAGAACAGATTTAAAAATACACATCTTTTATGATCTTTATACTGTTCCTCTGTCGATGAAAGGCGGTATTACACGCACACGCTTTCTTACCTGTGTTGGAATTTCATGGAGTAGGACAGTGTAGTCAAACTCAATAAAGTCATCTTTCCTTATCTGGGCATGTGTCAAAAAGGGAAAAAAAACAAACAAACAAGAATACAAGTTATATTGTTGAAGTTTGGAGTCTGCTCTGATTTACCTGACTGCATTTAGCTAGCTTAGGGAGGAAGGCAGCTGCGGTCGTTGGCTGGAGTGAGACAGGTTTTGTATGTGGAGAGACAGGGAACTGGGAGCACTTCCTGCACAACAGCTTTGGAGGCACTAACTGCAGCGTGGCTCTGCAGTCTGACTGTTCTCTGACATGGCGCTAGGCTGACTCGGGTGCTAATTAATTCAATTTAACCCTCAAATAAATTGGAGAATCTTACCCAGCTATGAGCCTCCCCTTAAGAGAAATCTCATTGTGAGTAACTAGGGAGTACAGACGGAACACTGTTGATCACAGATGACCGAGGGAAACCAAGCTTTGGGAACTCTTGTTCTGTATGCTGTGGATGTAAGATACCATCCCCCAGAGAGCGTAGGTTGGGTACTAGGGGGGCAAAGAGTACTGGGAGCCACTTAGTTTGGGGCTGAGGAACTGCAGGGCCATGTGTTCACATCTCCAGATTAAACCTGCAGAAGCGAACAGATCTGCTCATGCAAACAAGGAAAACCAAATTTTTGTCCAAATGAGTAAAATTTTTCCACCAAGAAAGACCTGGACAAAATACTTGTCCAGAGGTGGAGATACTTGTATGGAGAAGCCACTGGGGTCTTGGGAGAATCCCATCCATCACAGAGAGCGTGAGCTGTTGATGGTCGGGCGATTCTCTGCTGCTTGGCAGACTGTGATAGCTTCTGTAACGCAGACGTGCGGTTTCCACTTTGCTTACCCACTGCTTCACAGACTTGACTTGTGCCATGAAGTAACCCAAGTTTTCTGTTGACTTTTCCCACATAATGTAACTGCTGCCAGCCACAGCCAAAGCCCACACTGGCTCCAGGGCAGGTTCAATATTTCCATAGCTGTCTGCAAGGGAGAGAGAGAGTAATATAAAAATGATTCATTCCGGCTGTTCAGCAGAAAAATTACAAACCTCAGAACACTTTTGCCTGGCGTAGGCAGGCAAACGCTTTTGCCCTGCTTCCTGGAAATTGACCTCTCTTGGATGCGTTACTGATGCTAAACCTGCAGTCACAGTAGAAGTACAAAAGCGTGACAGAATGGAAATTGCCGAGAGACACTATCCACAGGGTCCCCACGAGGTGGTGAGAAACCCAATATCCGCGATAATGGAGGCGGTTACCTAGCTGGGAGGAAAGGAGGGACTGGGGCACTCTGTTTCCAGGATGGAAAAATCCTGTTAGCCGTCCCTTGTGAATTTCCACCCGCAGCTGGGGAAGGTGTGTGGGTTAAGGCTGCTGTTGTTACTTGAGGACATTTTGCATTTACTTAAATATAAAATTGCATGGCCTTGCTTTTAAATCCAAAGCATCTTCGCACCATTGTGTTGACTACTGTTGTTGCTAAACACAGCAGGTTGTTTTTCTCCCCAGGAACTGAAGCAAGGTGGAATTGTTTTCATAGCTCTATGGTTTATAGGGTGCTACTGCAAACGTATGTGTCAGCTTTTAAAAACACGTGTACGTTTGCTTCTGCCCTTAAAAGTGCCTCGACTCTTTGCGATAAAATGAAATACAATTGATTATTTGGAGGCATATACCTGGAATATTGTTTCCAATTATTGGTTTGGTTTGGCGCCTAATATTTTGGTAAAGTCTGTTGTCCTCTTCATTGATTTCTTTCTGGTCTTTGGTGTGCATGCACTTGATATTGACAACAGGCGGAGACTTTGTCTTCGGATACAACACCGTAGCAAGGCAGCTCCCGGCATTTTCCTGTAAAGGTAGAATTTAAAACTGTTATCTTTAATTGAGGTTTTATTTACCAGCCACGCATTCTTAAAAAAGCTCGGTATTAACACATGAAGTACATATGTGGAGTATGTACATGTCTTTATGAGATGCTTTGTATGAAGCTGTACTGGGGTCAAGAAAATCTTCAGATGGATATAAATTTTTTTCCAGAAGAGTAGCTAGGTTAAACCCGCAAGGCTAAAGTGATATAACAGAACTTTTTCATTACAGTGTAGCAGAAATGCACTAAGCAAGCTTGGAAATATGTTTGAGAGTTCTCAAGAAATAACATGAATTGCTAACAAGGAATTCCATTGTATAATACTTCAGCCTTAAAACAAAAATAATCTAATGCTTCATATTAAATTCTGAAAATAATCAGAATTTCATAAAATGTGTGTGTAATGGAAAAGCAGATGCTTACAGTAAAATTGCTAATGACAACTGTCTGCCAGAATGAAGAGGGTGAGGGGGTTATAATTAAAAAGAACGCACAACTGTCTACTCTCTACTCTTCATTTAGGTGTGGGGACACAGCAGGAGCCACAGGTGGATAACGAGGACCGTACTGTCATGCTGAGTTTGGACCATTGCAAAGTTCCGCTCAGGCACTTGGTTGTCTGACGTGACTTAAATGAGAGAATCTCCTCGGGCATGGAGCAACGCAGGTAACTACGGTGCTGACCACTTGGGCCCCGGCGGAGGCAGAGGACTGGTTAGAGGAGGTACTCGGGTGACGCCAAGAGCGAGCCAGGCCCCACACGGGACAGGCAGGTGGAAGCATAAAGGTAAGTCTTTCCATTGTGAAAGATCCATTTATGAAAGCAATTAAATGTACCCTGTTTTGAAGATGTTGAAGTTCATTTAAGGCACACTGTCAGAAGGAACATGGCAGGCCATAGACTCACCCCGCTTTTGTAGTCTTCGGTAGTGAACTGCAGGTAATACTTGTGACCGGAGTCTGGGATGCTCTGGAAGAGAGAAGCATTGAGCTGTCAGTGCGGCTGTAGCCTTACGTGCTGTAACTCTCTGAGGTGCTGCCGTGGGTGCTGAGTGGGGAACGAGGACACCATGGCTACCTCCTGGCCTTGTAGTGTCAGGGAATTGGTCAGATGAGATGCGCTGAGACAATCCTAGCAGCAAACACACAGGGTCTTAACAAGAACAATAAATAACCTTTACATTAAGGGATGTTTTAAAGCCTTTCCTCACAGAGAGAGGCAAGAAGAAAAATGCAGCTCAAAGTCCTTCACAGGACAGATTGATACCGAGTAACTTTAAAAATAATAAAATTACAAATCAGTGTTCACCTTGCGAGGAGGTACTTTTTTGCACAGGCTATCAGAGTGCCCTTGAATATAGAAATGAATCAATTCTTGCTGACTGATTCACAGCTGAGCAGGAGTTACACAGGCTAATTTAATTCTAGGGATGCTAACCATTCTAGGTTTTTGGTTTTTTTCTGTTGTGACTGGAAAGAGACTGATTTCGCTATGCCACGTGTCAGAGCAGGATTCTGATCTGTCTGCTCTCGTCTGCCCTGAAAATACCACTCATTGTGTTGCCAAATCAACTATCGGAGATTCCACTTATTAAGGAAAAATAAAAGAACGCTCCTTGCTGATGGGAAGCAGCCAGTAGCACCTCTTGTGGCAGGACACATCAGAAAAGCCTTGGAAATGTACACCTTTGAAATACGTCATTTTCTTGGGTTGGGGGGGTGGTGTCGGTTTCTTTGGGTTTTTTTTTCCCTCTTGCTGACAGGAATGGTTCAGTTAACTAATTGTACTTTTGGTGGGGGATATCACAGCCTGTCCGGGCCCCAAGCATGCTGAAATAGAAACTACCTTTTAATGTTGACCATGAAAGATATTAATTACCCTGCAACAGGATCAATGTCTCATTTAATAGTGTAAGAGCAGAGCCTAATAAAAGGTATTTGCATTATCTGCTCTTTACTTCATTAGTCAGTCTCATATTTTCCTACCAACTTGTATATTCACTTTTGA